GGTTTAGAAGTCAACGCCTCTACTCACCGGGCCACGAGCCCGTTGCCCTGTCGGTTTTCGATCGGGAATATACAATGTTAGGGGGCGCTCACCGATCGTCCATAGGGAACTCACTCGTTCCGTTGTGCCTTAAGGGCTCTCTCTCGAGCCCAACCAGCAGCCGCACAACGGCGCATGATATATATAGGCAAAACGGAACGAGTGAGTTCCCTATGGACGATCGGTGAGCGCCCCCTAACATTATATATATATATATATATATATATATATAATGAAATTCGTATCTTGCCCAGCTTATTTCTGATTCCAGTGAAAAAAGAGAGGGATATGACCAGCATACAGCCAAGGCGGCTGACAAAGCAACAATTGCTTTGACGTGTTCACTGCAAGGGTAATGATTGGGTATAGAACCCACAAGTAGATGGCAACTACGAAAACACAGCCCTGAAATTCAATGTGACTGTAAACATCACCTATTATTCACCGTTTCCATTGTTTGAAATTTCCTTCCCTTCTTGACTATACGTAAACTTACTGATGGTGTTTTATTCAATGACCGTTATCTTTTGAAAGTTGAGTTTTGTTTATTTTTTTTATTTATGGCGTCCACATCCTTTGCCAAATGACAACGTGCAATAAGACTTTCGGTAGAAATTTTATCCATTTCCTGTGTCTTCTCGCTCTCCGTTCTGTTTGTTGTCCCACTCATGGAACACCCTATACCATCATTCAAAGTATGATACGGTCAACAGGCTACCTCAAGTTAGTTGGGGGTCCTACAATTTACCGTTGTCGCAAGCGGCGGCAAACGGACATTCGACCGGCCTTCACGTGCATGTGATCCAATCAGGTCAACAAATCCTCCGCGACGAAACTCGGATCAAAACTGTCTTCACCAATCAAAGTAAGGACACAATCTCGACGGCTGCGCCAACAGTCCGATACAGAACCCCTTTAGCCAAAAGGCTTCAGACACTGTGTGGACGTGTCGATCTACCGTTG